TTCTATTTTTATCAATTGTGATTAAAGGAAAATCATATCCCCACTTTGAATTAATTTAAAAAATCTTCAGTTCACAGCTTTTGTGCTAATTTTTTTTTTGATGATTGACAAAGATTTCTCTACCATATTTATACCTGTTAAATGGAGTCTTAACAAGACTGTTAAGCTTAACTAAATTTCTTCCATCATATCTTGGGACAAACAGGACATATATCTCGCAATAAGCTCCAATGTCCCGGATAGAATATGCTAGCCATAACCATCTAGTAAAATAGCTGTTTTGAAAATTTAACTTTCGATTAGCACATAATGTTTGTAGATATTGAAAATTGGAAGTATATGTCTTTCTTCTAGACTAAGTATAAAATGTTATAAAATTATTTATACCTTTTTGTTTTTTGTAAGATGAATAGGATTTTCAACATCATCAATATGTTTAAAAAAATTTCTTATGTCCTTAATTATTATTTGACTAGAAATTTGAAAATGATAGATAAATATTACGCCACTAGAAATTTAAAAACAATAGCTAAATATTACGCTAAGGAAAACTTGAAATCGAAATTAATTGATAAAATAACTTAGTAAATGAATGTGATTAATTAAATATATATTTAAAAAGAAAGAGATAGTTATTATAAAATATAAAAATATCAGCAATAATTTTTTTGAAAATTATATCCGGCATCTGCATTTTTTGACTTTAGAAGGGAATTTTTCCCGCTCCCCTAACCCTTTGCGTACGCGCCTGCGACATTAAGATGATAAATATTAAATATCATATTAGGAAACCCAAATAATTTTTGGTCAGCGCTTTTTTTACATTTGGGTGTAGCTATACGTGGAACTTAAGCATTAAAAAAAGGATAGATTTCTTTAATATTTAACTTTTGAATTAACTTTGAAAAGAAAAATAACCGCAAACTATTGATAGAAAATTCTTCACTTTTGTTTTCTATCGCCATAATTACGTGCAAACTAATATCACAAAAAATATATTAAAATATTGTGATATGACCGATTACCGATTCATAACTGATTATATGACTAAATACTCCATTGCTGGAGTTACTATTAAAAATTCTTCATTTAATTTTAAGCTTATAAAATCATAGATGCAGCCAGGGGTGGTAAAAGGCAAAAGAACCCCTCCCACCGCCCGCTCTTCAAATATTTCACTGTTCCAGTAAAAAAATTTGGCTGATAAAAATCCCTCCCCCTCTACCCCCTTTTCCCCCAAATTGTATATATTACTATACACAGGAATTCGAAAGAAAAATAAGTAAAAGTTTATAACTTTTTTAAATAAAGACTATAATTCAAAATTTCTAGAAAAAAAGCATTTTAAAAAAAAAATGAAAACCAAAATTATTTTATAATAATATAATATAACTAGTTGTGCCACCTGGTTAATAGGCAACCATTAAAAAATAATAATCAACTAAAAAAACTTCCTTATTAGAATAATAAGAAAGGAACTAGTTTGAATATATTTAAATTGTTATTTGGTTAGGACATGTATAATCATATAATAAATAAATATTTATAAAGCAATCATTATGTATATAGGCCATTAATGAATTGTAAATTGATATAAGATTGGGAAGGGAATCCCTTTAAATAAAATGTTGAAAGGCTGCTATCAAGAAAAACAATATAATAAACTGAGAAAATTTACTTACTGGGATGATAATTTAGGAACTACATTTAATATTTAAATTGTTACTTGTATTAGGTAGTTTTAGTTTTATTTTCATGTGTAGGATTATCAAATAAAACAATAATTTATAAAATAATAAATAATTATAAATATATCCTTTTTTCATATAAATCAATATAATTTATTTAAAATCACCATTTTGTTTTGTTTAAGGCTAAAGGAAGGATAATAAGATGATTTAATACCACAATTATAATATTTATTTAAAAGAGGACTAAAATTTCGTAAGAAAACTATTTAATTTAAATATAATTTAAATGTATATTTTTAAATATATGCCCAATTTTTTTAAAAATAGGATGCTAATGATTTTTTCAAAACTGATACTAATTTATTTTTTAAAAACCTATTTTGAAAAAGGGTAGTCATTTCCCATTTAGTTAAAGCAGCGATCTTAGCGCGAGGCATTACATTATTGGAGATTAGTTTTATCTTATTTATGATAAATATATTTGAACCATTAAAACGAAGAAATTATTTCAAATCAATTATATGGACCAAACAAAAATGTCTACGTGCTTGTCTAAATGATTAGAACGACCTTATATTTATTAAATTATTATTTATTTCATAATATTCATATTTTATCATATTAAGTAAAATTACATTAAGATAAAATAAAAATCAACCAAAAATAATTTCTAAACTTTAGGCAAGAGGGTTAAAAATTATCTTCGATAAATGAATAAACGGGCAGACGAATTTCTTTTAAAAACGCAAGATGGTTGGAAAAATTTTAAGCAATAGAAAAGTGAGTTCTTTGGTTAAAAATTTGCCCTTTGTAGACTTTTACTCCTATAATGTTTAAAATATAAACTTGCGTCATCTCCTCCCTCCTTCCATGCATGATAAAAGCTCCTAAATATCTCATATTAGATTTGATTGCTTGTAGACAATGAATTCTAGTAATATCGTCATGATTTGGAAAATCAAAATTAAATTCTTAATCTAACTCAGAGGCTTCTTGAGTGTAATCCCATCATAATGCTGAAACCCTTCTAATGACTAAAATATAAAATAATTAAATTATAAAATGGATAACTATTCATAGGATTAGTAGCCAGGTAATTTGGGTGCTAAAGTACCCCCTTTTTCAAAATTAGCACCAATTTTTAAAAATGAATTAGTACCCTTTTCAAATAAAATTAGCACCAAATTTTTAAATAATTTACACATTAAATAGCAATCCTATAAAATGTTAGGGTATATTTCAAATAAATAAGTTTGGGTATATTTCAAATAAATACAATTTTCCATGTGTCATAGTCGTTTTATTATTATAATTTTATTCCTTACCTTAAATAAAAACAACATAATGAAAATAATTTATTTTATTATATGAAAGGCATTAATCCATTTATATATATTTTATAAATTTATTTTATTAGATGTTCCTACACTTCAAGAAATAAAGCCTAATATGTAGGTAACGTTAAGGTTGTATAAATTCAATTTATATTCATTTTTACGCATTTTATTTCAATTAATTTAATGCAGCGTCTACATAAACAGGGGGTGGTAGGGTAGGAACAGTTTGCAACCCAACTTTTTGAGGGGGGGGGGGTAGTGTGTATGCACTATTAAAGAGGGTAGAATAAATATTTTGGGAGGTCATCTATGAATTTTTAAATGAAATAGATATATTGCTGTGAAAATTAACACATTTTTTATAGACCTATTATAATACAATGATATTGCTAATCATCGACCAAATCTTTATATTACATACAATCATAGTCATTATTTTCCGAATAAAATTTCTGCTCATTTAAAAGGGTTAGACTTTCTCAGCAAACTCATATTCATGCCAAACAATATACAATAATAATGCATTCATTGTAAATAAGATGATTTTTATTTGAATTCATTATCTAAAAAATATCTCTTTCACATTCACAATATTTTGATAGTTGGTAGTAGAGCTAAAATAATTTAAGTTATTCTTTTTAAAATTTATGAAGGGAGTACCATTATAATTAAAAAAAGTGTAATAACAATGTGGAAATATCGCCGCCGAAGGTAGCACGAATTTTTTAGGAGGTTATATGCAGATAATTGAGGAGGGTTTCCATCCAAGTAATATGCCATTGTGTCATCTAGACGCTGATTTAATGAATGTCTATTTTTGAATTAGTCTTATAAAAAATATCAATGGAAAAAGTTATTAAAAATATTTTCTAAATTTTAAAATAATATAGGTTCTTTTATATGACTTTATGTATGAGAAAAATGATTGTACAAATATTTTTGATTAACGAATAAAATGATTAATTATAATTAAATTCAAAAATATAAAGCTAGGGACATAAACCCGGCAGAAAGCTGGGCCAAAGGGCCGTGAGTAAATAAATTTATAGACCTTTTTAAAAAAATTAACACCTTTTAGCACTCTTCTTTATAAAAGCGAATGAAGACCCTGGTGTTAGTATATTCTACAATGGAATATTAAATAAATAAAAGTTTAATTTAATGCAAAGTTAAAGTTAAAGTAATACAAATTTTTATATCAAGAAAAAATAATATTACATTAATTAACTTATAATCCTATTAATTAATTATATTCTATATGTAATTATAAAAAATAATCAATTATTATACATATATATATTTTTTTAATATTTACGTTTTATTAATTTAATAATCCATATTATATAAAGTAATAAAAAATAACATGTAATTATGTTATATAAGAAAACATAATTATAAATATAATTTAAAATACATATAAAAAATATTTTTTAAGTGGTTAAAAATAATCATTGTAATGCAATATTTATAAGCTAATTTGTTCTTAATCAAAAGGGCCTTCGAGATTGTTGTTTATGGCTCTTTTGTTTAGTTAGTTTGATTAGGGATTTGACATCTTTGCCAAATGAGCAGCTTGTTTCACAATTGGTATAAATATATTGTTATCTACTATATAATAATATACTAAATAAAGAATTAAACGAAGTAATACCTTGTGATCTCCCCTTCTTTCGCCCCAGTTTTAGGGGGCTTTTATTTGACTTTGACATTTGGGTTGAGACATGTCTTAATAATTGGTCTAATGAATAAGGAATCTAAAAAAAATAATGATCTAACTACCACTACAAAGTTTAAAAATAGCAACGATACCTTTTTACCTTCAAAATTTTCGCGCACTACTAACGTACTTTGACAATTCTAACTGCAGAATATAGTGTTAATTAATAATTAGGCTGTTTTAATATCGTCCAGGGTTTAGCTCATACATAATCAGATACATCTAATTTATAATGTGATATATTTGCCATTTGGGCATTCAAAATATGTTCATGATAAATTTATTTTTATATTATATATTTTTTATTTTCTCTGTCAATGCAATTCAGAATCAAAATGAAGATATATATTCCATTGAAGGAAAAATTGTTATGACGCTAGATAATCCTCCAAAAAATTGGCTGAAATATGTTAAAATGTATATTGATAAAGATCATTTAGGATTTATCAAGTAATATAATTATATTACTCCAGTTTATAATTAAATTGAACACGCTTTATAGGGAAGATGGCTTGTTTGTTATTAATAATTTAAGTCCTGGATCTTATGTTATTGAAGTAATACATCCAGATATTACATTTGAACAAGTTAGAGTTGATATTAGTAAAAATGGGAAAGTTCGTGCTAGAAGAGTAAAAATAATATATTCATTTTACAAATTTATGATTGTATATAAATAAAATACTTGATTTATAAATATATCTCATGGTAATTACCAGTGATGCACTTATACAATATTTATTAAACACTCTTATATAAAGCTACTTTTAAAAATAATTTTAGTTCTAGCTACTGAAAAAAAGTAACATTACTCAAGTTATGCAAATGGCACGTCTGCAGGTCTTTGATTCATGTATCACATATTATCTTTATATGATGATTTCCAAAATCTAAAATAACTGTTAAATAAATATAACATATCTTTAACAACTTTTGCATTGAACATTGTTTGTCTAGGCAGGTATATTTTTTTTGAAATTTTGCCCACCTTTATATGCCAATTTTGAATTTTTTTTAGACATAAAAAAAGTTAGAAATTTTAATAAAAATAAATATATATTTTCTTTTATTTATATTTTTGGTGTAATTGTAGTACAATATTTTTTTCAGCAACTTTTTAAAAATCTCATTTATTTTTAAATCTCAAAATTATTTTGTACAATAAAATAACTAATAACAATAACTCATTACCTTTTAAATGATGTTCCTATAACCAGTTCCTATTCAAAATTAACTTTTGATAAGACTACTTTTTTTAGTAACAGTTTCCAATACTTTAAAAAAAAATAGCATTAACATAATGACTAATGTTAATGTTATGGCCTGATTTGGGTTGATTTTTAAAAACAACTTTATTAAGATTTTAGACAAAGAAATATTAAGTAAACCTGGAGATTTTATTCATAGATGCCAGAAAGGCTTGGACCTCTGTTTGCCAAATCTTGAGGCTTACATAATATTATTTAATGACATTTCTATTTTTCATGAGTAATGCTAAATGTAAGCTACTTTTTTTGAGTAACATTGACAGCTCTGATTAAATTGAAAGTATTGGCTGACAAATGCTGATTAATATAATGATCCCCTGGTATGAAGTATCTGTATCGATGCATCTGGTAATTACTAAAATAAGTTTACATAATGTTTTCTAAATAAGTCACAATATTGTTTAATACACATCTTTAAATTTATTTTAAAAATCAATATAGGTCAATAATCTACAGCCTAATCTTGTGGCATCCCTACCTTATCCATTAAAAATTAAATCATTATTTTTGACTCAATATTTTCAGATGAGGGAAAAAATGAGGATGACAGATTTTCTGTTAAACCCAATGGTTAGACATTAAATTTTTATTATAAAATGATATTTAAATTTATAAAAATTTAATTTAAAATCTTACATATTTAAATAATAATTTATAATATTTTATACGGGGATCTAAATCAATTTTAATTTTAGGTAATAAAATAAGTTCAGAATTTGTGGAAACTAGGCTTGGAGTGGGTCCAATAATATTTTATTAGTAGATTAAATGATGATAACCTTACTTTGCTTATCAAATTTTAACAAAATTGATGGGGAGTGGCCTAAAATTTAATTTTTTCATCACATTTGAGATAAAATTAAATCAAAATTTTTTCTCACAATTGTTCAAGCCAGAGCTTAATTAAATCATTTTCATTAGAACGAATTCTAGATTATTTTGTTTTTCTAATAACTTTATTATAGGTCTTTTCCAAGAAAAATTTTAATTTTTTCTCTGGCACAATTTTATTTGCTTTCCTTGAAAAATACCTTTTCTTTGGTCTAAAATTTTTCCTTAATTTTTTACAGATAGAATCAGACTTCTGATTTATAGGAAAAATAGTTGGGTTGATTGGGTAATAATAATTTTCAGTCTACATGAAAGAATATGCTGCCCAATGCAATGTTCTAAATCAAACCTTTGATTTTAGATATATTTTTAATTACATATCAATTCAAAAAGAAAATAAATAATGAATTGTATATTATATAAGGTTCTGATGATGGTTTTGCCACTTTTAGTTATAATGGTCATCCCAAAATTAATGAATTCAATGGATATAGATGCTCAAAAGGTTATTTTTTAAACAATTTTATGTATTAATAAAATTATTAAAAACTAAAGTTTTATATATGATATTAATTTTTTTTATCATATTTATATTTCCTTCTTATTATATAGTAATAATTTGATTGAAAGATTAAAAAAAGTTTTAATACTATAAAACTTCAAAAACCTTTTATAAAAAACGTGATTTTGAAATTTAAATATACGTTTTTTTAAAATCTTTACATTATAGGAATTTCAACAAACTAATAATCAATTGGCTAAATATGACGTTCCAGATTTATCTGAAATGATGACAAGTGCTTTCAGTTCTATAACCAGTGGCACTTCCAATAACAATAATAAACATAAATCTGCTCTAGCAACTAGTTCTGCATTAGCGGCTGGAATAAAGCATAATTCTTATCATCAGCCATCGCAATTACCCCCATCTACATCCACTTTCTCGAATTTGAATAACAGAAAAGAATTTAAATCAAAACATAAATGAAAATTAGTTATTGACGTGCTCCTATATTGAAAAAATGTTTTATCCTCTATCATCATACGGTTCACATTCATCAAAGTTTAAGTTTGGGATAAAATGTTCAATATTTAAAAATAAATTATATTATATATATTACTTCGATTTAAACCAAGTGGGTTAAAACATAGCAATCCCTTTTGTAAATAATGTTTAAAAAGGTAGTGTTTGTTACTCAGTAATAACAATTATATGAATTTTATTATTTTATAAATGTTAGTGTTTACATTAATAATTTAATTCATCTGTAATTTTGGTTATCCGTAAACTGTCTATAAAATAAAATATATATATATCAAACTGGCTCCTTATTAGACATGTAAAGTAAGGTAATTTTTACGAATTTTACCTTATAATTTCTCCAATTTTTTTATTGTGTTTTTCTCAGGTTGGGAAAATTTCCAAAAAACAAGTTACTATCTTATTTTTTTAAAAAAAATTGTATAGTGAAAATCAAAATATATCAAACTTTATTTTATTTTTATAATATAAATGAGTTATATAAAAATTTAGGGAAGAAAATGGACAAATTTGTTATATAAAATGTGTAATTTTTAGAACTGTATGTTATAATAATAAAAATAATAGCGGATAATCTATTTTGCATTCAAAAAGATACAGATACTTTCAATTAGAGATCTGCAAAAGTAGGCCCTGGCCGAGGCCTAATATTTTAAAGAAAATTCGAGCTGGGTCGGGTCGGGCCTTAGAAATTTCTTAAAATATGTCTAAATTTATCAATTTTATATTGAATTTTTTATGTAAAATAAAAATGTGTGATTTTATTTATAGAAAGTAGACGCCATATAACATATATCGTTTATTTTGAGTAATTATAAAATTAATTTCTATATTTAAATAAATACGGGGCGGGCCGGCAAAATTTTTTATAAAAAATTTCGGGTTGGGGCGGGGCCGAGCAAATATTTATAAAAAAATTTCGGGCCGGGCTCGAAAAATTAGGCCCGATGCAGATCACTACTTTCAATTATATAAGTTGATTTTAATATTAATTAAAAATTATTTTAAAATTTAATCCGAGTTTAGATATTTTAAGATAGGGAAATGATATATGACTTTGGTTTTCATATAATAATATGCGAAACAACTACCATATTTTATTAAAATTGCCATACGTCCATTATTACCCACAAAATAACCAAGTTATCGAAGATATAATTATAGAATTAAAGTGAAAACAATGATGCTACCCTTGGAGAATACAAATATAAATTAAGCATATTAAATGGGGAATTTTTTGAAGTCGTTCAACATGTTATACCAATAATAAAAGCACTGCAGAATATAAAGAATGCCACAAATTTATAAGTGGTTCTGCAGATTCGTCATCTGATTTCGCTAAGGATCTAAAAATATATTATATATTTTAATTAAAAATCACATTTATAATGATATTTAGTTTATATTCAATATCATTTCATTTGCTACAAAAAAAAGTATACTTCAATAGGTTGAGATTGAGAATAATTTGTGGATTAAATTGATATATTTTTTACAAGAAACAAGCTCCAACATTATTTGTAGTGTTGCTAAAGTAGCGCGCTACTTTAAAAATATAGTGGTAGCTAGATACTAATTTAGAAAGTAACGAAGTAGCGCACTACTTTTCTACTTTCAATTTTAAAAATAAATACACGAAAATTATAAAATATATTTATAATTGTAGAAACATAATTTTTTTATTATATTTTAATTTTTAAATTTATATCTAAAGATCTGCATTATAAATCTAATTTTTAAAATAATTTTCGTACAGATTATATCGACGAAATAATTTCCTGGAAAATGATTACAATATAGAATTTCCTCTTCCGCAAAATATTTTTCTCTATAAAAAAATAACACTGGGTACAAATTTCGTTATAGGGTGTGCCAGAAGGTTATACCCTCAAACAAGACTAGTAGCTTAAATTCGAGAAAATATTTAAAGTTAATATATCAAACAAATTTAATACCTATGTGTAGCCCAATTCTTAATCTCTAAAATAAAATTTGAATCAAAACTTTATCTATAATAGTTTTTGAGCTTGATGAGTTTATGTGAAAGTTTATTTTATGGCCCGATATTATTCAAGTATAAATTAAAAATTACAATATATAAATATTAAATTTTTATTTTGTTATCAGACTCTATTTAATGATATTATTTTATAAATTATTTTCTGAATCGTGCTTAAAATTAACTAGTAATTTTATCAAAACTTGCTAAAAAATAATTATTTAAATCCTTTCACATTTTTAATCAATTTTGAAAGGAATTGATTCAATAGATAAAAAGTTAAAGGATGGTATGGCCAGTCACCAACATGGCCATTTATTCCACTTATCCTCTTCATGATTTTTATTCTAACTAATACTATTTATCATTGAGATGCAATAAAAAATAAATTATATATATTTGAAATTTTAGTCATATTTTTTATTCGTGGAAAAGGAGATAGTAAAAAATATTTAAAATTTTTTTCTAATATAGCGTAAAAAGTAGCTAATAACACGCTACATTTTTGAAAAAATAGCGGTAGCGATAGCGTTCTACTTTTTTGTGAAATAAGAGTAGCGATACGCGCTACTAAAGGTAGCTCTGGTTTTATCCTCCGTCAAAACTATATCTTTGACATACATAAACTTAATGTCAACTTATAATTTCTTAAACCTCACTTATAAAATATCTTTCTTATCTTATATAAAATGTAACCCAATTTTTCAAATAGTTTTATTAATATTTAACTCTATAAAATGAAATATTAATTACAACAAAAAAAATGGATAAGATATTGTAACATTAAAAAAAAATGATCATGTATTCATCGAAAAAAAATATATCGAAAAAAAAATTCTGTTTTCTTTTTAATAATATTATTTTTTTTACCATATTGTTGATTGACGTTTTCTATATATATAATTATTTATTAATTATGCGAGGCTATTTTATGCCACCCCTTTATGGGCCAGAAGCATTCAACCCCCCCCCCCCCCTAAAAAAAATAAATCATAAGTATCAAAAAAACTATATTAAAACATATAACACTATAGATATTAAAAACTAAAATATACACAGTTTGATTATGTGCTACGAAAGATACCTATATAACTATGTCACTAAAAAAATATTGGCACTAAATAGATATCACAATTTTCTTACATTAACATAAAATTTTCCCAAAACTCTTCAGCAGTACTTCTCCCAGACCCTAATAATACTGCCGATGTACTTGGCATATTCGTCGTGGACATAGCCATACGTAGGATATCCTGAGCCAAAACATCTGCAATATTCAGTCTTACGTTTTTCGGAATTGCAAAGGATCCCGACGTGAATGCTGCCAGTTCCGGAGCATGGTTAGTCGTACGCTGTCATCTGTGAATTCTCGAGTTAATCTTTTTGTAATCGAGCTGGAGCTCACGATATAGTTATCCTTTCGGTCTCCCAAAGATGTTTTCCCCTTTCGAGATGGCAACCCACATTGTCCCATTAAATGATCTTCTGCGTGGCAATTAAAACAACATCTTTTCTCGCACTTTAAGATTGGCTAATATTTTCCTTTTGCGGACCAGTAATCAATCTTGTATTTTTTGGGATGAGTGTCACCTGAAGATAGTGATCACCAAAATCTACGAGCCGCGAATTATATTTCGTTGAAAAAACAAATTTGAATTATAAAAAATTTTTCCTTTTTTTTAGAAAAAATAAAATTATAAAAGTTTTATGGTACTTTTTTTTTTAAAAAAAAAATATAAATCCGAGATTAAAAAAATAAAATTATACTTTTTCTGTTGGAGAAAAATAAACATAACATACAAAGTAAAAGAATTTTTAAAATTCTAGCAGATTTTTTTGGGTTCGGTTCATCCGGTGGTAAATATTATTTTATTTTAATCATATTTATTTACAGATATAACTTACATTAAAGAAATTAAGCTTAAAATTAGCCATCACCCACCTTTAAAGTAATTAAATTATACTGTAGTTCTCGGGTATAGGCTTTTTCTTTGTCCCACTCCTTTTAAATTAAAGCCTATAGAGGTAAGCAACATTTTTCGAAATGTTGTGCCTACAAGTACGTACGGCTTGCCCATAAACGTGTAAAGGGCTTCTCATCTTTTTCCCAAATTTTATTTAATCCAATTAGATGGAAATGAGAAATACCTAGCGTAGCTCTCTTGTACATACAACGTTTAGAGGGCAGGGCGTATGCGCTTTATGACGTATGACGACGTAAAAAAACACTAAACACGGGCACGGTAAAATAAAGTTATTTATAGTAAAAATATTATAAATATATTATTATTTTTTGAATTCCATCTGGGAAAATAATTTTTTATAGCTTAACATTTTATTTTTTAGTGATTTTTAAAAAATATCAAAAAGTAAATCTATTTTTAACTAAAAAATAAAGAATATACATTATTGTAATATAGTTTTTATTTTTTAATAAGGATAAATATTTATAAATCAAAAAAACGTATGTGAAAGAAAGTTATTAATAGTAGAAATATTAAAAATATATTCTTATTTTTTAAACAATAATTATTTTAAAGAATTAATTGTTTATAATTATTTAAATTATATTCTAGTTAAATTTACAACAACAGGTCTTTTTAAAAGGAAATCAAAAAAATCCTACTATTTATAGTAGGATGCCCTTGGTTGGTAAATTTACTAAAAATAAAATGTTAAAATATATTCATAAACACAATAGAGTTTATCGTAAGTCATAATCAGTTTTGTTAGTCAATATTTTGCTTTGATAATAATATTCCTGACTCCTCAGGACTACCTATATTATTATTTTGGATAAAAATATTCCTGCCCCTTCTAAGCCCTATACATTAACCTACTGTACAGAGTAGAGAGGGAACGCCTGATCTCCTAATGAATAAATCTTATATATAATTTTGGGGAAAAAAATAAATGGGTTTTTGTGCTAGGAATATCAAATATGATATAATAAATTATATATTTATTAAATAATGTGAACAGGGTTTCCAGGTCAAAATTTTCAAATTCCGGATAAATAGTGCATTGTTAAAAATATTCCTGTGCCCTCCTAGACCCGCCCACTTTGAATAATAATTTAGATTACAATCAAGATATAATTAAATTCCCTTTTATTTGACGCCCATATCAATATTTTCCATTGTTAAAAATATTTCTGACCTCATAAGACCTA